ATTGAGAGGGGACCTTTGACACCACCTCACTCTTCCCATGTCCTAGATGGAGAAACTGAGGCCCAGAGAAAGACCATGTACTCCCCAAAGTCATAGTTAACTAATTAGAGCCAGGATTGAAACCTCAGACACAGAAATCATCTTCTCTCTCTTAATCTCAGTATTATGAGGGGCAAGAGAAGAGTTTAGGCCTTCTGAGACATCTTTTAACTGATACGATAATTACCTCTCTCTTTTCTGGACCTGAAAGTCCCATGAAAACACGAGTTTGGTTTTGGCAAGGATTAGTTCAGCTGCTTCTCAGTCCCAGCCCAGTCCCACAAGAACAAGGCAGAGAAAAGGATCTGAGGGAGTGAGAGACACTGCTATTAATCTTGGGTAGCCCAGCAACAGGGAACTGCAGGCCTTGAACTAGATTTCACCGTGTAGGCTCTTAACTCTCCTGTCCTCTTGCTTATTAATCCCTCGTCTGTCGCCTCTTTATGAATGTTCCCAACTATCTGCAGTAAACAGCCAGTTAGGAGCTCAGGCTCAGCCCCCTATAATTCACTGCACCAGAAAAGGGCAGGAGGTGGGTGGCGGAGGGAGTGATGATGTCAGGGTCCAATAACCTCTTGTAGGAAGGACTACAAGGGGATCTGTAGACTCGTAATAAACACAGAGAGAAGCAGCTGTGGAGCCCTCTGCTGCCCTGCCACATGGAAATAATGAAGAAGTCTGGAGTCCGTTCACATCTCAAGGACCTTTCAACTCCCTGTGCTGACGCTGAGATTTGTTTTGCCTGATAGACAATGACCCTTTAAGCATTGGGAAGGGAAAGGACAGTTTCTAGAAAGAGATTTCGCCACTAAAACAAGATATATCTATGGAGTCAAAAGAAAGATTTCTAGTCTAGGATCTGCCACACCTTAGGCAAATGAGATTCCCTCCCTGACCCCATAATCTCCATGTATGAAATGAGAGAACTTGGTTCACTGATTCTCAAAGTCCCTCTGGCTTTACCATTCAGCCCTCTCCTTAAGTCAGGTCCAATGACTCACTCTGAGAAAGTCAAGCGGCCAAAGAGGAATCCACCAATGTTAACTGTGGACGAGTCCACCAAATGCTCTAAACATGGGACCCAGATTATGGAACAACGTCATAGAGTAGAGGGACATGAGGAAATGCATTTGTCTTTTCCCTAGCCAGAAACTGCAAGTAGCAATGTTGCTAGGGAGTAGGGAATGACCAATGTATAAACGTCCAACCAAAGTGTCTACATATATAGCTCAAAGCACTGACTGCTCTTCTCCTATGTAAGAAAAGCAAAAGCCCAACAGAAGAATTTTCACACACTGGCTCTATAGTAGAGTCATGGGACTTTTTTGTGGCTTTGGAAAAGTGGCAGCAAGAGGGAGAAGGGACAGGCTAAGACATAGAATCCTAGAAAATCGAACAAGAATACCATGACCATTGGGCAACTCTGTCTATTTTTAGATGCTGAAAGGAACCCCAGATAGGGAAGGGACTTGTCTAAGGTAACACAGCAAAGTGACAACAGCACTCGGATTAGAATGAGATTTGTTTGGTCTGTGGCTCTCAGTTCTTCATCCCTACCACACTGCTTCTTTCTCCAAAACTGTCCAGGCAACTAAGAAAATCATTTCATTTTTAACTATCGCCTCTACCTCCACCTCAAAAAACAGTAATTGGTTAATCTGATTGAATGCAGACTATGACTGTTTCCACCAAATTATAATAAACAATTCACTCTGGCAATATAGACAAGTCTGGGAGAAGTAATTGGGCATTACTCATCCTTGCTAATGAATCACCCTGTAGAAAGCAGGGATAATCAACGGTTTACAGGAGGCCAGAAGCCTGTTCTTGTTCAAGTACAGATCTCGCCTATTAAAGAACATTAGGCATCAGCTCTAAATAGTAAACAGGGTGTACCATTTCAGATTCCATGAAGTGCAGCTTTAAATAGCTTTGGTTTGGAAATGGGATAAGGGGCACACCAGAGTCACTGGATCAACATTGAAAGCAGAGAAAAACAGTGATTACACTCATTAATTGAGTACCTGTTGACATGTCTACTGTCAAGTCTAATTATTTATTTAAACTGTTATTCTTTCTTCATTACTGCCACTGATACCAATTATTACCAAAATACTCTTTTAAAATTCTACAGCATGTCCCAGAGTAATTTTTTTTGCCACCTTCCACAAGGTTATAGATGTTTCTATGTTTCTCTACCTAACAGCCCCCACCTAAAAAAATGGAAATCAGATACACAGATAAATAAATAGAAGATACATAAATAGAAACAGATAGATAGCTAGATAAGACATATAAAACTGTTCTTTTTCAAGAGTAAGTTTTTGTAACCTTTCAAGTTTTGCTTAAACTCGTCTCTGCAGTCCCTGGGCGGTGCAAATGATTAACACACTCAGCTATTAACTGAAAGGTTGGAGGTTCGAGTTCACCCAGAAGTACCTCAAAAGAAAGGCCTGGTGATTTACTTCCAAAAAATCAGTCACTGAAAACCCTATGGTGCACAGTTCTACCCTGATACATATGAAGTCGCCATAGTCAGAACCAACTCCACAGCAATTGGCACTGGTTTTTCTATAGTTTCGAGATGAATTTCAGTGTGAGGGGGCATAGTGATCCACTTTTTAAAGCTAATTCTATTAATATTTCCCAACTGGCATTTTGCGGAGAGTTAGCATGATAACCTCAATTTTTAAAATAAATACGTTAGATCTCTGCCTCAGAGTTATCAAAAAATATCATGTGCATGTTTACAGTATATTCTTTTCTGATCTACCCCTACTCCTCATTTATCGACTACCTTGTTATCTGACATTTCACATTTTCAACAATAGTAAAACATCTACTTTCCGAGTATTCTGTGCATTAATGACGTATGTCAGGCAGTAATGAACACTGAGGTGCAAGGCGAGAGTGACACTGGCCATGATGGCTAAGGTTATGTGTCAGCTTGGCTGGGCCGTGATTCTCAGTAGTTTGGTAGTTACGTAATGATGTAATCTGGCAGTTATGTAATGATGTAGTCATCCTCCATTTTGGCATAATGCCAATTTTTGCCTAACAATCTGGTCTTTGGAATCTGACCATGTCAGTAAGTGAGCAGTGGGTGCATTTATCCATGAAAATAATATATTAGAAAGAAGTTTTTACAGGGGGGCTATATACTGGACAGGAATGAAAAGAGGGGCAGGAACCCTTCCCGCATTTTTTGCTACTACCTTTTTATATAACCCTCTCTTTTGTAGAAATGAGAACAAAATCTAAATAACTCAAATGGCTGTTATGCCTGATATAATTTTAGACAAGTTTCACAGTCCATACATCACCCACAATAGTTGCAGATGATGTGCTTTTATTTCCTGTATATGGTGAATATTAGCCTTGAAAAGCTTACTAACCTAACATCATAACTTCCACTCAATTTTAAAATGCTAACTTCGACAAATATGGAGAAGTACCAACAAATTTGGTCTGTGTAACTGAAGTTATGTTTGTGGTTCAAGATAATGAAAATAATATGCCCAAGGGATGAACAAAAAATTCAGTAAAACAAATATTTACAGTACTTTAAACGCTGATATCAAATCTTCCACTCTTTTACAGGGCCTGCAGTTAGAAACACCTTATTGATTACTTCACCTTCTTTTGGCTAAGATTTCTAAAGAATTCCACAGAATGCAGTAGACCTCACTGGAAGGTACAGCTATCAGCTGGTTACCTGCAGAAGAAAGCTCACCATTTTACAGATTTTAAAAGTAACATGCTTCCATTAAAAAAAACAGTTACTGGCCTTCCTTTCCTTGGCAATTTCAGGACAAGTGTATTCTTCTGCTAAAGGCGTATTACCTTCGCACTGGTCTCCCCAAGAATGGTGTACAGATACTGTGGGTCCCGACTTTCAAAGGGCTCTAGCTCATTTTCTTTGTTGTTTGGATTTTTTTGCTGTAGCCTCAGATTATGACCGTTTGAGATGATTTGTTGGGCAGCTAAGAGATCTGACTAGTAAAGTTTGGCCCCTTCAGAATCAGGTAACACTGGCAGCATAGTTTAGTAAAACATTTACTTGATCAGAGACTGGGAGAGTATGTTGGAAAGTCCTCCTACGATGTACTAGCTGAGGATACAATAAGATAATGGATACAAACATCATAGAACACACTACTTTATGGACACTTAGGAATTACTCGCTGAATCAGAATCTTCTGTGTTTTCCAAAGTTGTGTCCTTTTGAAATTAAACCTTAAGGGGAGAAACTGAAAGGGAAAATTAAATCAAGAAGACATAAAAGGAAGCAGATCACCATCTTGGACATTTTTCAGATTTTGTTGTTCATGAACTACCTTTGTATTTCTCCAATTAGGAGTAAAATCAACCTTTTAAACATTGCTGGGTAAAACATTGTTATAGATTGAATTATGTCCCCCAAAAATGTGTGTCAGCTTGGCTAGGCCATGATTCCCAGTATTGTGTGATTGTCCACCATTTTGTCTTCTGATACAGTTTTCCAATGTGTTGAAAATCCTACCTCTATGATGTTAATGAGGCAGGATTACAGGCCGTTATGTTAATGAGGCAGGACTCAATCTACAAGATTAGGTTGTGTCTTGAGTCAGTCTCTTTTGAGATATAAAAAGGAGAAGCCAGCAGGGAGACTGGGGGACCTCATACCACAAGAAAGAAGTGACAGGAGCAGAGGGCATCCTTTGGACCCAGGGTCCTTGTGCATAAGAAGTTCCTAGACCAGGGGAAGACTGATGACAAGGACAGTCCCCCAGAGCCAACAGAGAAAGGCTTCCTCTGTAGCTGGTGCCCTGAATTTGGACTTCTAGCCTCTTAGACTGTGAGAGAATAAATTCCTCTTTGTTAAAGCCATCCACTTGTGGTATTTCTGTTACAGCAGCACTAGATGACTAAGATAGATGTCTATCAGCCTTCCATAAACATGAAGAGGCTGATCCTCTTACCTCAGACAGCTAGCTCCTGGGGTTGTCAGTGGACACAGAGCTCAGCAAGCTTCAGTGTTAGTGTCTGTCAATGAAAAGAGGTCAAAGTTACTTTTGGGTAATTAAGCCTATATTTATTCATTAATAATCGTAACTTCTAATGTCTACATAGCAGTTTCTTGTTTTTCAAAACATTTTCACATTCACTCATTATCTCATTTCACCTACAAAACAACCCTGTGAAGAAGGGTAGGGATTATTGGGGAAGTAGGGAAAGCAAAAGGGATTTGGAGCTATTTGAACCTTTCTCCCTTTTACCAAGTAGCCCTAGACAAGTTACTACAATTCTCTGACTGTCAATTTAAATGTCAATTGTCATATGTAAATGAGGGTTATAATAGCTACTTTATAGCCAAACAGCAAACCAAACCCAAGGCTGCCGAGTTGATGCCGACTCATAGTGACCCCACAGGACAGAGAAGAACTGTCCCACAGGGTTTCCAAGGAACACCTGGTGGGTTTAAACAGCTGATCTTTTGGTTAACAGGCTGAGCTCTTAATCGCAAGATTTTCCACGCTTATTCCATTTCTATAGATACGGATAGCAGTAATATAGGAAGCGATAACATCTCTTCCTTAAGTGATCAAAGAATAATATTATACGGGCACGAGACTAGAGAATGCCTCTGGGTTGGGTATTTCTTTGACTCATATTCCTAGTTTTAAAACACTGAATATTTACCTATGTCAATCTCACATGGCCTCACCTAAAAACAAACAAACACCACAGAGAACTTTTGTACTGAAAGACAAGGCCACAAAATTAAAAGCAAGGGTCCGCTTAACCCCCAAAAGGCTAAAGACACACTGTTTTAGGTGAAAGATCTTCCGGTAAATGAGGATCATTTTAAAGGGTGTGCTTGTATCATGACTTAGTTCAGAGACATGGAACTCCCAAATTCACTGCAAGAACGTTGGGAAGTAACGGTAAAAATACCCAATCATATTTGATTCAAATCAGTTTAAGAAAAGACCATGCCTGATAGAGTACTCTGCAAGAAGTTCTTGCCATCTGCCACCAAAATTAAAATACTAATAACCTTATAACACCACAACTTATGGTTTGAAAAATATTATATTACCACTATATCACAAATTATCCCCTCTCTAACTCAAATGAGACCTTATCACCCCACTTTTACCAACAAGGAAACCAAACTTCAAAGATCACATGGATAATATAAAGCAAATGAAAACGTAAACCTTGGAATCTTGACACCAAAACCAATAAGCATCCTTCTAATAACACAATGCAGCCTCTCATTTGTGAGCACACTCTTTTGTAGGGGTAAATTAAAAACTTCGGAAACGAGAACATGGGTAGAAAGTATGTAAAAATCAATTGACAAAGTACAAAAGCGCACTCAGTATCCTGGGTTCTCCTTCACTGGCAAGTGAAAGACAGAGAGAGAAGACTTCACATCTGCGGTCTAACCAGAAGGTGACACATTACTGACACAGAAGGAGGGCTCAAGGCAGAGTCACCATGAACACTTTCTCATCTCTCCCCAGTGATATTTCAGAGATGCAAGATCCTTAGTTTAACTGTCAAAGCGCAAGCCACAGAAACAAGAGTCTGTACCATTGAGTTTTGGTGATGGGCCCCTCATCAGTAAGTCTCATATTGCACAACAGAAAAGTTGAGGCTGTGTAGGTAAGAAGTTCACCAGCCCCTCTTCACATAGCTCAAATGTCATGGGTCCTCAGCAACTCCTGGTATTTCATAATGCAGCGTGGTTCTCCACGAAACCCATAAACACGATTGACAAATCCCAATCTAGTCTCTTGGTAATGAAACCAGTTATCCTTGGCTGCTTCTGCGTATTTTACGACTTTGTCATAACACCTTTGTCCAACCACCTATCTATTCCCAAGAAAAATGTTCTCACTTCCTGTTATGGACTGAATTATGTCACCCAAAAATATGTGTTGTAAATCCCAACCTTGATGCCTGTGGTTATAATTCCATCTGGGAATGGGTTTTCTTTGTTATGTTAATGAGACAGGATTGGTTAAGGAACATCTTGAGTCAATCTCTTACAAGAGGTAAAAGGAGATTAGGCAAACAGAGATGGGGGAAGAACTGCCAAACCACAGGAAGATTGCCCACAAGCAGAAGCTCAGAAGAGACAAGGACCTTGCTCCAGAGCCAACAGAGAGACAAAGTCTTCCCCTAGAGCCAACACCCTAAATTCGGACTTCTAGCCTCCTAAAGCATAAGAATATAAATTTCTGTTTGTTAAAGCCACCCATTTATAGTATTTCTGTTATAGCAGCACTAGATAACTAAGACACCTGCAGAAGTAATTTCAGTCAAAAATAAACAAACCTGCAGAATAAACCTCTAACTCGCAAAACTTCAAGCTATCAATTAAAATCTATGCCAAAGTTAGACTCGTCAAACCTCACTGGAAAAGCTACAGGATTACTGTTTATTTCTACTCTCCTTTGGATAAAACAAGGGGCAACAATGAAGCCAAGAAAGAAAAAAGAGTGGCAAGAAGTAAGGAAAAGGAAGGAAAGGAATGGCGGGATATGAGAAATGGAGCATAGAAAGGCCTATTTCAGTAGGTTTCATATTCTTTAAATCTGCCATCACACACAGGGCAACGTTTAAACTTAAGCATGGAAAGATGGTCCTAACATTATGAACAAGAATTCCAACTTCATTATCTGAAAATCCGATAGCACAAATAAGCATTATGGCAGAATCTTCTAACTACTTGCACTAAAGCCGATATATCTGTAACTCTTTAGTCCTGTGGTCCCAGATGTTTCGAATCTGGAGCAACTATCTTGCAAACAATACTGGAGTAAGGACCGAATTCTAGTCTTAGCACTACAATTCCCAAATCGTTTTAATTATATGTTGTAGAAAACATACATTTTCCTTTTTCTCTTCATAGACCTCGGCCATGGTTATCCCTAAATCACTAACAAAAGGCCAAGATTTCTTTTGTCTGAATTTTGTGTATTTTGGTATGCTTTATGTGGTCGTGGTGGTGGTGAGAGGAAGATTTACAGTAAGATTGCGTTAAATTATATAATGTAATAATTTGGAACATGATTACTAGGAACCCTGTCCCCAGAAGTGATTGACATCTTGGGTTGGGCCAAAGGCATCAGATGCCAAACATGAAATCTCCTCCACGTCCAGCCCCAAGTTCCTTAGGACAAGTATTTTTAAATGCATTCTCTCACCTGCCACCCCAAGATATTTATCAAGAACACACGTGTTCCAGGCCTTATGAATGATTTGGTCATCTCATTAAAGTAATGTTTGCCAGTATTTAATTGCTTCCATCCTTGACTTTAATTTCCTCACCTGTCAGCATCTATCAGCAGCACCAAGATCTTCTGACATCTCGACTGATTGTGTTGAAATTAATCAGATTTTTTTAAAGTCAACTGCTTTGGCCTACAGGTAATTTTCCACTTCTTAATGTGGCGTTCATAAAGGTTCTATCAATGGGACTTATAATCTGGAAATTAAATGAGAGATTTTGGGAATCCTAAGCTGAAATATAAGCAGCTTACAAATCTCAAGCACTGGACCTTAAAAGATGAGTACTTAAAAAAAAAAAAAAAATCAATAAGTGCTCATTGAAGATAGAGCACTAGCCAGCCAGCAGGCACTTCTGAGGAAGGGCTTCCAACCAGCTTGTTTCCCTTGGAACTCCTGCTGAGAATTTGCACTTCTAACAAGCTCCCAGGTCAGGCTAATGCTGCTGGTTAGGGACCAATTCTGAGAATCTAGCAGAGCCAAACCCTTTGCCTTCAAGCTCATAGCAACCCTAGAGGATCGAGCAGGACTGCCCCATAGGGTTTCCAAGGAGCAGCTCATGGATTCAAACTGCCAACCTTTTGGTTAACAGGCTGAGCTCTTAACCACAGTGCCACCGGGGCTCTACTATTGGAGCAGTGGTTCTCAAAATGTATTTATACATAAGAATCACCTGGAGGGGTCTTGTTAAAATGTAGATTCTGATACAGTATAACTGGGGTGGAAATTAAAATTCTCAAAAGGGGCACAAACCGGTTTGAAGCCCTGCTTTCAGGTAAACAGAAGGGAGTTAACGCATAAAGTTACCTCAGAAATTTTGGGGAAAGAAGTTAGAATTAATTAAACTGAACTCATCTTAAGTTACAATGGCCCACAATCTGGTCCCTCCAAAGCTACTCTTTATATTTACCAATGTGATTTTACTCTTCGCCACAAGCCATAAAACCAAAACCAAACCCGTTGCCATCGAGTCCATTCCAACTCACAGGACAGAGTAGAACTGCTCCATAGGGTTTCCAAAGAGTGACTGGTAGATTCGAGCTGCTGACCTTTTGGTTAGCAGCAGAGCTCTTAACCACTGTGCCACAACCCAGTGAGGTATAATTACTATTATTAGTCATGGAAGAAGTGTTTCCTTTTGACAAGAGACGAAGCTGAGGTGGAGAAGATTAAAGGGGCTCTCCTACAATCCTAGCTATGGGCAGGCCCAGTCTTGTGAACTAAATAAAATCAGTCAAGGCAGCAGGATCACTCTGGAATAAAGAGAGAAAATATTCCTTGCAAAACCTCCACACATAATTATTCAGTGCTAATTCCTGTGCTAATATCTAACAGTAACAGTGCTTACGGCATTCACCTAGCAGTTCTACAGGAAGCAAATGAAATGACAGATACAGAAATACCTGATAATGTGCCCTACGATTATGAGATTATTTTTATGTATTTACACTGCTATTCTTACTTGAGGATACAAGCAGCAGATACATGTAATAATTAGGTCCTTGAAAAGCAAGCCACATGCATCTTTCAGTTATTCTGCTGGTTCTGAGTACCTAAACTGAACAAATGAATGGAAAATGTTGCATGCCTTCAATTGGGGTGGGTGGATCAGACATGAGACCTAAGGGTTGTTTCACAAAAATGGCTTTATAACCAAGTGTAACCAAACCACAGTCTGGGTCTACTAGTCTCTCAACCCCTACACAGCCTTGAAGTGTCTCCCCACTGTGAAGGTGTCCTGA